AACAATGAAGCCGCAGACAAAAAAATACGCAAATACACGGAGCGCGTGAACTCATTGATTTAATAAAATGTTAGTTATCGTTTTTATGGACAATTTTGGGATTTCGACTTTTATTTTTTCCTACACAAATATGATCAGTATTCGATACTGAGTACACCAATTTTTATTTATACTATTAAAAATTAGTGGTAAATTATGTACTTTAAAATTGATACCGTTTTGTGAAAACGTCTGTATTTGTCTCAGCGGTTTATTAGTTGGTCCCTTTACAAGCCGTAATTCTATTTCCGCGTGCTGACAAAGGCTGCGGTGTGATACCTATATTCAGAAAAAACTTGGTTACTAAAACATTTTTTTTTACAGGTAAGGTAACTGACACGAAACATGGCTACAGCAAAGAAAAAATGTCGACAATATAGTATCGATTATTTGAAATATGGTTTTGTTCCATCAGAGGCAGACAAACAATTGCCCATGTGCCTATTATGCAACAAAGTTTTGAGCAATGACTCTATGAAACCATCAAAGCTCGAAGATCATCTAAAAAGGTGTCATACTGATAAAATAGGTAAAGATTTAAAATATTTTCAAACATTGAAAGAAAAATATGGAAAGAGACCCACCATGCACAGTATGTTCGCTTCAACATCTCAAAGTAACGATGATGGCTTGCGGGCATCTTACAATATCTCATTACTTATAGCAAAATCTGGAAAACCGCACACTATCGGAGAACAATTAATTTTACCCGCTGTTGAAGAGGTTTTAAAAACTGTTTTGCACAAATCTCCATTTGACGTACTAAAAAGAATTCCATTAAGTAACAATACTGTACAAAGACGCATTGATGAAATGAGCTCTGATATCGAAAGCTTTTTGTGCAATCATCTGCAAAAAACTCATTTTTCTATACAACTGGACGAGTCAACGTTACCCAGTAATGAAGCATTACTATTGGCATATGTCCGATTTATTGTTGAGGAAGAAATTCACGAAGAATTGCTATTTGCCAGAACTTTGGAGACTGACACTAAAGGCGAATCAATATTTAATGTCCTGAGTAATTTTTTTACGGAAAAATCGATCCCATTTACAAACATTATTTCAGTGGCAACAGACGGAGCTCCTGCAATGGTCGGGCGATATCGTGGGTTTATAAGTCATCTCAAAAGAATTATACCAGGACTTACAGCTATTCATTGCGTAATCCACCGACAACATCTTGTGGCAAAACATTTAAGTGACAGGTTGAACCAATCTCTTCATTTTGTAATAAAAGCTGTCAACAAAATCAGAAGCAATGCATTGAATACGCGTTTATTTGCTCAATTGTGCGACGAAAATGATGAAGACTTCCAACGACTGCTCTTACATACTGAAGTACGCTGGTTGTCGAAAGGTGCATGCTTAACGAGATTTTACTCTGTTTTCGATTCCATATTAGAGTTCTTAGAAAGTAGAGATCCAGATTTAAAAGAAAACTTGATCAAATTCAAAGCAGACATTGCGTATTTGACAGATTTGTTTAAAAAATTTAATGATATTAACTTGCAGTTACAAGGGGACAGCCTGAATTTAATAAAAACAAAGGGGATAATTTCGGCTTTTCTTGGGAAATTGAAATTTATGAAGCAAAACATTAGTCGGCGCGAATTCTCTCAATTTCCAAACTTGTCGCAGGTAGAATGTATTGATGAGGATATCCATACCTACAGTCAACATTTAAGTGCTCTGCATGATGACTTCAAAACCAGGTTTGAAGATATACTGACGATGGATATACCACCATGGATCATAAATCCATTTGATGAAACGGAAGTGGCCAATGTTGTATTACAAGAGGAGCTGCTCGAGCTAAGCACTAATGAGGAGCTGAAGGTGAAATTTAGAAAAGGCTACCCAACATTTTGGCTGCAAGCAGAAATACCCGAAAAATATCCTGGACTGTGGGAAATCGCAAGGAAATTTTTAATAGCTTTTCCCTCGTCATACCTTGTCGAAAGGAGTTTTAGTGCCGTTACAAACCTCTTAACAAAAAAAAGGAGCAAATTAAACATCACAGAGCGGGGGGATTTGCGGTTATTGCTCACAAAATAAAGCCAAACATTGATCGTTTGCTGACACTCCATCAGATACATCCTTCCCATTAATTAAAATTATGACCTGAACCTATATTACCTTAATATTTTTTCTTGTAATTCTATTCTTTTAATAAATAAAGTGATATAAAATGTACCATTTTTCGTTTTTATTTTACATATCGGAATATAGGGACAGAACTCAGAAGTGACACAATTTTTATTTTTTGGCGACTTTAAGAATGTGGTAGAAATGTAGCAGCAGGGGGTCCACCGAAACCAGTAAAATTTTGAAAGTGGTCCACGAGAAAAATAAGTTTGGGAACTACTGGGTTAGACCATATCACACCAAGTTACGACTATTCTTTCGTCATCTTGTCACTCATATTAATAACTACGCGATGTTGCAAAAATAGTTATTACTACATTACATAGATGCCTTTTTTTCAAACAAAAGTATTAATTTTTGCGACGTGATTGACGACAATATAAAATCATAGTAACCATACTCCTCCGAAACGGCTTAACCGATTTTGATGAAATTTGATGTGTATATTTAGTAGGTCTGGGAATACCTAGGTTGTTTATTTTTTATACCTCTAAGTGATAAGGGTTATTTTTTGGGCAAAATGTTTTATTTTAATTTTTTTATATGACATTAAAAAATACATAAAACCCTAAATTTTCACCCTCTACCATCAACCCCTATTTTTTAATAGCGATATTAGAAAATCAATAATTTCAACCCCAATCGATAACTGATCAACCATATAACCACATCCTCACTAGTGATGGTTTGGAACTCGAGCGAAAATTCGCTCGAGTATTCGATTATTGAAATAACCGACATCGCTCGATTATGACCGAGCGCTGCAAGTGACGAGGTACAAGCACAGAACAGATACAAATCAGAAATTTCACTGAACATCGGTGCTTTTCAAGTATGTTGTAAGAATTCCGTTCCTCGCGCACAGATTTCATCCTCCTGCGCGCCGCACAGCTGATCATTAGTTGATGGCTTTAAACGAGCCAGGGTCGAACTCAGATACGTGTGAATCGTGACAGGAGCGTATTTCGTTTTTTAACAGTATTTATTTGAAAAAAGTAAGATTTAGTAGTGACAAAATAAATAATGTGTAAAAATAATACGAAAAATCATGCCAATTGATTCAAATGTTTAAAGCGTTATTTTACAAAAAAAGTGTTCATTGAGTTGAGTCATTGTTTTGTATCTCGTTTTTCTAGAAATAAACATTAATATTTAATTTTCAAAGAGAATAATCACAAAAATAATTCGGACAAGGTGGGTTTTGTGGCAGTATGATACCGTATGATCGAGAAAGAACGGCGTCAGCGTTGGCTTTGAAATGAAGATCGCTGTCATTTTATATGTAAATTTATATGGGAATATATATATATATATATATATATATGTCGTTTCCCAGCCAACTGGACGCCGTTTTTTTTCGATCATACGGTATTATACCGTATGATCGAATAAAAACGGCCTCAGCGATGGCTATGAAATGAAGATCGCTGTCATTTTATATGGGAAATGTCATCGATTGTCATTTCATAGCCATCGCTGACGCCGTTTTTATTCGATCATACTGTACTTGTGTAAAGGGGCCTAGGAAAAATGCAGGATTTGCAATAAGTAATAAGGATTTTGCTGCAGTAACCTAATTTGTAGTGAATTTTTTATAGGAATAAGCGACTTTTAACTGCAGTTTGGGACCCTGTTTATGTAAATTTCAGGGTCCCACTATAAGCTTGACGCTGTCATGATTTTATGATTCAGCAATTTTATTTTTTTCAATACAAACCTTCATTTGAAAATGTAGACAGAATATAATAAAAACAATTTGACTGAAATAAAATAACATTTTATTTGTTATTATAAATATGTAAAAATTATACATATAATCCTAGCAATGTGATATTAGGTACAAAATCTAATACAATTACTTAAATGTAAATGATCCTAAAATTTATTAATACAAATGAAAAATTAAAAGAATAGATAAATATATATCATCTAACTAAACTTACTTGCTAATTAAAAATATCTAAAAAAAATCTGTATTTAAGAACCTATCGTATTTAGAAACATATCTATATAAAATAAAATCGATAAAAATTTTGTTTCAAATACAATTGATTTTAAAATCTCACCTGTGCACTTATCAACAAAGAAATAAGCAACTGGCTGCTTCCAATTAGCAAATATACCTCGTGCCATCAGAACTAAAACACTTTTAGCAGGGACATATTGCTTTTCCGATAAAGTCTCATGGAAGCCAATTATTTTGTCACGTCCTCGATTATAAAACAAAAATTTTTTTAAACACATCTCATCTATACATAACACACAGTCCTTATCCATATCTTGCATAGATGCAGCTTTAGTTTTTATTGCCTCAAAAACAAATTTATTTAATCTGGAATATATTTCCCAGTACCTATGGAGAGTGCTCTTGGAAGGTAAGCAAAGTGGCTTTCTTAAAAATGTATATGCATTTGGACTTAAAAAATAAATTGTTAATGCAAATTGCTTAAATTCGTTGGTATATCGGTATCCATGTGATTTCCTTGAGGAATTTTGTAAGCAAAGTTCAATAAAATTAGCCATTGACGAAGAGAAGTGTTCCTTACAAAAAGCTATAAAGTCTTCATTTGTAACATTTGTTTTGTCAGTCTTCGGATGAAATTCCAACTTTCTTTTCAAACTTCTAATTTGTAACCTTAACCCATGTTTTCTTGGACTATCCACACTAAGGGATGTAGGTGTCTGTTGTGAAAAATCTATACAAACAAGAAATAAAAAAATATTTATCTATTTGAAATATTGATCTTCTCTAAATATTATAACAAACTACCAAAAAAAAACATTTATTGAAAACTGGAATTCTATACCCTATATCGGTATGGCAGTTCAGATTTATATTCAGCATTGTGTTTAAAAGGTAATAGTATTTTACTCACCTTCAGATGTAACTTCCTTGGATGTTGATGGAATAGCAATTACATCTGGTGAAGTAGATTCTGAAACCGCTGAAAACATAAAATAAAATATTTATTGAAAACTGGAATTCTATACCCTATTGCATTGTGTTTAAAAGGTTAAAAAAATAGTATTTTACTCACCTTCAGATGTAATAGGAACAGCAGGAATAGTAGCTTCAACTTCCATCATGGAATTGTCTACAAAAATATATATTTATTTAATTTTTTTGAGCATAACACAAACACAATTTTAAGAGGCAAAATTGAAAGCTAAATGTTATTGTCAAAAGTTTTGTTTTTCAGTAATATAGTATTTGTCATAAAAATATTGAAAATATTACACAGAACCACCAAGAACAGACTGAAACTGGATTTTCTAAATGCCTATCTATAAACTATTTTTGTTTATTTAAATGTTCGTTTGTGCAAGTGTATAAATCGATTGTGCAGATAAACAAGCAACTGATGATTTTAAAAAATTACAAGTAAAATGAAAAACAATGCTTATGAACCCACCTGACATCAATAAAGTTGGAACAGCAAATTTCTTTAGACGGCTTTGAGACATTCCCGCAAACATGGTAGGTTGAAAGTGTTTTCCACAAACTCTATACCCTCTATGCAAATCTATAGGTGATTTTGCTCTAAAATCATGCCTGTTGCAGTTCTTAACCCACTCAGAACATCTAGAATTTATTAAAATATTTTTCGTTATTTAATAGATGATTGTACATACATGAGTCTGTCAAAAACTTTAGAATTTCTAAAAAATCTTACTAGATTGTTTAAAATTCTAGAGGAAACATTCCTTATTGTGTAGATAAAAAATATTTATGTACCTTTTGGATCCAATGGGAATGAAAAGAAGCTAAGACCCATATCAGTCTCCGTATTGCTTAAACAGCCGGGAACACAGCAGTAACGAAGGCCCATTATAAACAAAATTGTCAAACAAATATAGTCACAAAATATCACAAACACACCACAAAGTAAATTAAAATTATTTTAATTTACTTTTCCGTTAATTTACTTTTCCGCCCGTTCATATGACATTCATATTTTTAGGTTAGAAATGTTGAGCAACGTTGTCAGTTGTCAGATTTTAACAAAGAAATTCCTGAATCTTTAATTACCATTGCAATAATAATTTTTTTATATTTAGCAGTAAAGCAAAATAGAGTGCAAAACTGACGATGCCCGTTGGTTTTATTTATTCTAAAATCAATTTCAATTGTTTTGGTTTAAATATTTCAATGATAATATTTTTAACTTTTTTTGTGCAGAAAATGAGGTAAATTTTTGTTACATTTCGTACTACGTCGCAAAATGCTGCACTCAAGGGACGTTGCCATGCCGCGTTTTTCGTAATAATAATGTTAATTTTTAGGCATATTTTAATTTTCCAAATATATCAAATTCCTCATAATTATGTATATTCGGTAATTCTTGTATACTTGCGTCACTTATTTCGTGAAAGAAATGCTAAATGAGTGAAGAAATGTGGCCGTGGGATTATAATATAAAAATACATTTTTCAAGTACTGAGAATTATGGGTTACCTTGGCAACCTCACAAAAACCTTGCGCATGGTTTTGTGCCGCCTGCGCGCATATAACATAAAAAATAAAATCTTGACAACGGAAATCCCATAAGTGAAATTTCTGATTTGTATCTGTTCTGTGGTACAAGCGACGAACGCAAGCGATCCTAGAATGAAATAAATTGAAATCCGATTTTAATGTGACATACCAACTGGATAAAAAGGATCAAGCGAATCGCTCGTCGCTTGCTACTTGCCATTCATCCCCGAAAGAATATGTGCCCTGCACACGCAACTTACTCCTCTTGGCACTTGGCGTTAACGATTACTTAACCTTCTTACAACAAGGGACGCGACGGACGAAAAACCGTATTTTTAAATACGGGTGATATTTCGCTCGGTTATTGTAATCGCTTGAAACTCAAGTACTCGATTATTGAAATTAATCGGTTTTTCCCATCACTAATCCTCACACACTGACAATAAGTTTTTACCCCCCCCCCTATTTTTTTTCTCAAACTATCCTTGGTTCTAACTGTTATTTCCAAATCACGATATGTTATTTTAAAATAACAGTTCCAACTGTTATTTATAAATAACAGATAGAACTGTATTTATTAACTTTTAAGCGTTTATTAACTTTTAAGCCTTTTAATTTTAAGCGTTTATTAAAAACAGTTCTGAATAGAACAAATTTATAAATAACAAGCTGGCTCTATATTCTTGTGAAATTCTTAGACCATAAATTATTAATATATCCAATATACAACATTTTGTTGAATAAAACTTTGTCACTAAAAACATTTACACAGTTTTATAGTTTTTATCCGCTCATAAAGCTAAAACTAGTCTGTCAGTGGTCTGGCAATTAGAATTCGTACTTCAATGACCAAAAATCGAGTATCTCTGAAATGAAAAAAAAAATCCAAAACAAATTAAAAAAGTCGAAAAGCTCGTATTTGACGGGACATTTTTTTCGCAAATACACGATCCACTGGTTGTTCAAACAGGGTTGGTGTTTGTAAATAATGGCAAACGTTCGTTCACTTTAAAGGTTTCCCTCCAGCTTTTCGACTGCAATAGCCGGCGACTAAAATTACTAAACGCGTAAAAAACATGGAAAATCCGAATAAATACGAACGTATGTATATATTTGCTTTGACAGTTATGTTTTCATAAATAAATCGCGCGCTCTTTATTTGAAATTAAATTAAAAAAATATTTAATTTAATTTTTTTATTTTTTTTATTTAAGTTACCCTATTATTTTATATTGTATATGTTTAATTAATTTTACAGTAATATTGGCTAGTGTTATTTCATTTATTTATTTATAAAATGCAGATTCGTTGACATCAATACAGGGTATTTCAAAAAACATGTGCCATCTCTAGTTGGGAGATTCCTCACTTAAAAAAATAAGATTTATTTTTTATATCAACAAAGGTCCGATTCTGCTTTGTTTCGTAGCTACAGGGGGTTAAAGTTTTTTCTTTCTATTTATTATAATTTTTTCTCAGCGCCTGTAGTTGGAGAGAAATTATAATAAATTGCAAAAAAAAGACTAACGCACTGTAGCTACGAAACAACGCAGAATTGGACCTATGTTATTAAGTTATTAGTTAGTAGATCTCAATAAAAGAAACATATTTTCTCTTTACCGTTGCTCTTACTTTTTCAAATAAGTCTAAAATAACCCAGTTATTCAAGTTTGAAAATTAAAAAACATATATTATTTTTGGTGACTTTGGACTCGGTATACGTAATGAGAGAGGAGACCGATTTGTTGAATTCTGCAGGGATAATAATTTGTGTATTATGAACACCTTCTACAAACTCCCGAAGAGAAGGCTCTATACTTGGAAACATCCATCAGATAGTCCAGAGAAACCTGTCAGAAATCAGATTGACTATATCACCATCAATGAACGTTACCGAAACTCAGTACAGGCAGTCAAAACTTTTCCTGGAGCCGATGTCCCTTCAGATCATGTCCTCCTAGTAGCGAGGTTCAAGCTCAGATTAAAGAAAGTCGAAAGAAAACAACCGTCAAAAAAGTTAAATGTCGACTATATACGGGACAATCACGAGGTAATTATGAACACTCTGGAAAATAAGTGTGAGGAAAAAATACTTGACTGCAACATTGAAGACCACTGGAATAAGTTTAAAAATATAGTATCAGAAACAACATCTAATATACCTATAGCCCAACAGAAGAAACAGAATTGGATGAATGACGATATTCTGCACCTAATGGAGGAAAGAAGATCATTTAAAAATCAAGACCAACAAAAGTACCAACTTATTAATAAAGAAATTCGGAAGAAAATACGAGCGGCAAAAGAGGCATGGTTTGTGAATCAATGTAAGGAGGTTGAAGAGTTACAGAAGAGACATGATACCTTCAACTTACATAAGAGGGTTAAAGAGTTAACGGGTGTGAATACCAACAGAACTCATAACCTTGTTGACAAGGATGGTAATCTCATTGTAAATGACATTGATAAACTGAGAAGATGGAAAGAGTACATCGAAGAATTGTTTGATGACGAGAGAATAGAAAATGTGATACAACAATGTAATACAGGCCCTATGATAACAATGGGTGAACTAGAGAAGGCTATAAAAACAGCAAAAAATAGAAAGGCAACGGGTCCGGATGAAATACCATCGGAAATACTCAAATGTCTCGATATTAAAGGAAAACAGTCGCTACTATCGCTTTTTAACAAAATATACGAATCCGGAGTTATACCAACTGACTGGATCAAGTCAACATTCGTAATGATCCCCAAAAAGGGAAACTCTAGGAAGTGCTCTGATTACAGAACTATCAGTTTAATGAGCCACGTCCTAAAAATTTTCCTTCGAATTATACATTCAAGAGTATATGCCAAAATAGAGGAACAAATTAGCGAGACACAGTTCGGATTCCGCAACAATCTTGGAACTAGAGAAGCACTTTTTTGCATCCAAGTCCTTGTTCAAAGATGCAGAGATGTCGATCACCCTGTCTTTATGTGCTTTATTGATTTCGAAAAAGCATTTGACAGGGTAAAACATGATAAATTGGTTGCGATTTTACGGGAAGTGGGCATTGATGATAAGGATCTCCAAATAATTAGAAACCTTTATTGGAATCAGCAGGCAAGTGTTAAAATTGGCAAAAATACCTCGGAAACAATAGCAATCCGTAGAGGTGTGCGACAGGGATGCATTATGTCGCCACTACTTTTTAATCTTTACTCTGAATTCATCTTCAGGGAGGCGCTCGAGGAAATCGATGGCGGTGTCAAAGTGAATGGAGTTAATGTCAACAACTTAAAATATGCTGACGATACCGTTTTGTTAGCCAGTAGTCCGGAAGAACTGCAGTTGCTGTTGGATAGAGTTACAAGTACATGCGATGAGTATGGGTTAAAACTTAACACTCAAAAGACTAAGCTTATGACCGTTAGTAAACATCCTATAAATCCGATACCAATAACAGCTTATGGAGTCGACCTTGAGCAAGTTGATAATATCACCTACTTGGGCTCTAACATTAATAACGATTGGGATATGAGCAAGGAAATCAAGCAACGTATAGAGAAAGCTAGATCGGTATTCTATCGGATGAAGAAAGTGTTATGTAGTCGAAATATTAACATAGAACTAAAGTTAAGACTTACAAGATGCTACATATTTTCCACTTTACTTTATGGGGCGGAAAGTTGGACACTCACAGAGACATTGCTAAAGAAACTCCAGGCTTTTGAAATGTGGGTGTATAGGAGATTGTTGCGGATAAGTTGGGTTGACAAGGTCGTAATGAGGAAGTTTTGAGTCGCTTGTCCAAACAACCCGAAATAAATAAAAACATCAAGATCCGGAAGTTAGAATATTTTGCGCACGTTATTCGACACCCTGAACGATACAACGTCCTCCATTTGATTATGCAAGGTAAAATAGAGGGTAAGAGAGGACCTGGTCGTAGACGCACATCGTGACTTCGAAATTTGCGGGATTGGTTCCAAAAATCAAGTGCAGCACTCTTTAGGGCTGCTGCCAGCAAAATTATAATAGCCAATATGATAGCCAACGTTCGTTGAGGACATGGCACTCGAAGAAGAAGATATTATTTTTAAAAAAATTTGAGAGCCACCATAGACTAAAGCTGTAAATATGGTTATATCAGAGATTAAGAAATTATACCGTCATAAAATTTGCGGTGAACACGCAGTTCTAAAAAGTTTTCTAAAATATACAGGGAAATTTAAAAGAAAACGAACGATTTTCAACATCTTATTTTTGCAA